GTCGCCTGGCGCGCAGCCGCAGCGCGGCGGAGGCGCCCGGGCAGGGGCGCGCCGAAGCCCGGCCTGCGCTCGGAGGGGGCGCGCCGCGCGCGGCGGCTCGGCGAGGGGCCTCGGTGGACGGGGGCGGTTCGCGGGCCCCACGAGCAGCCCAACGCCCCGAGAGGCGCCCGTGCCCACCGATCCTCGCAGGGAAGGGGCCGCGCTCCGCCTTGGCCGGGGGATCTGGGCCGGCCCGGCCCGTCCCGTCCCCGGAGCCAGCGGGACCCCAGCTGTCCAGTTTCCTCCGAGGTCGGACAGCTGGCCTTGGGGTTCTGGAAACGGGGATGTGCCGCCCTTTCAAAACCCTGGTGAGCAGAGGGAGGAGGAGGCCGGCCGGCCGGCCGGGGGCGGGTCCTCCGGTGCCGCTGCCCACCTCCCCCCCAAAGCACCCTTGCTGTAGGGGCTGGTTTTTCTCCCGGGCGATCGGGTGTTCTCTGATCTTCTGTGTATGGTCAAGCGTCGATCCTGACTCCTCAGTCTGGACTTTTCTGCGCGGTGGTCACAGACCCCGTTTGGAAAAGACTGAGACAGTGTTAGCAGCCATGCATGTTAGGAATCTCTGGGACCAGCCACGCTTGACAGAATTTGTCTCCCACAGACTTCGGGGAAATTGAAGCCCCCGCGCCCTGCCTGCTTGACACACCTTTATTCCTTGATGCATTAATTATGACCCAGGCGCTCTCAATGGGGCTGCCAGGCTCATCTTCCTGCATTTCCGTGCAGGGATAGGTATTTTAACATCCAGTACAACTCCACCTCCTTTCCTATTTCTTCTGTTCTTCTTGAACAAGCCCTCGCCTTCCATTGCTATATTCCTGTATGGGAGTTGCCCCACCAACTTTCAAGAACACCTTTCAAGTCAAACTTGCCTTCCTGTGTTGAGAGCTCAATTCAGTCACTTAACGATAGCTGGGACATCTTGTCTGGACGTGCTGTCAATCTCCTGGACGCTTGCACCTATTGCTGGAGCGAAGGCTTGAGCCGGGCCGGGCGCCTCATCTTCCTGATTCGCTGTGGATTGCTTTATCACAGCGTTTGGCACTACTAAGGTCTTGAAACGTTTTGTTGCTTTCAGTGCAGCTTTGTAAATGGCTACTGCAACATCATTGTATTCCTGTAAGCTTTGATGTCATTACTACAGTCAGTATGCTTTGCATTCGGTTTTATTTGCTTTTGACTTCACTTTTAACCACACTGCCCCTGCAGCAACCTGCCAGGTTAGGATAATGCTAACAGGAATGGTCAAGGAATATGGGGGCTGTAGTACAAAACATCTGGAGGGCTTTTGCTGTGTGTCCTGCATACTGTTTTGTTTTTGGCAACGGACCAGCCAGGCTGTTCCTTTCCTGAGTTCAGTCTGCATTTCATGTAAAGAAAGTCCCTGTGCCACAGATTATTATTTCATGTGCATCTTGTAACATTCCTGTAGTGCAACTTATTTTTGCCTTTTATTTATCGGTGCATTTAAGGAGAGCCCTTGCTCTGCTGATGCAGAGGCTTTCCTTGCTATGCAAGCTGCAATCGTATTAAGTGAGACAGTTTGACACCCTTGAACAGCGCAGATTTGAGTCTGTCTGAAAGGTTTATTCTTCTGCTGGTCAGCGAGATACAAGAGCTCAACATTTGTTCTCGCACTTCTCTCTGAATTGCTTCTGACGCATTTGAGTTTTTGCCTTGCTTCCCGTGGTTGATAAATTAAGGTGGTAGAAATAAATCAACAAACTAATTTTCATGGCACAACCCGAAAGCACTTCTTGAATCCTAAGGATAAGAGCAAACTGTTGATACATAAATATGAAGGCAAATGTCTCTTCAGCAAAGCAGAATGATAGAAATAAAGGTTTAGCTGTTTAATAAAAGCCTTGCAGCACTGGTGAGACGATGAAGGAGCTGGAGCTGCAGTGGAGTACAAGGCAGGGCTCCAATAAGCTTTACCTGATGAACCCTCTGCCTTTTAAGTAATGAGCCTCCACATCGTCAGAGGCTGCAGAATCTGCCCTTCCACCCACTGCTTGTGCCACCGGTCCAACGGAGCTGGGCAGCATGTCAAATAGGGGGAAGGCATGAATATGCATGCGTTGCACATGGACGGTGCAGGGGGAGCATGAGCTGGCAGGGCATCCGGTCCCGTTGACTCTTCGAAATCAGACAGTGGAAGAATCGGGCAGAGTTCAAAGCAAGGAGTGCCACGAGTGGTTTAGATTAACTCCAGATTACGTTTGGCACTTGTCAGAGGCTGTGCTGCTGCATGTGCAGGGCACAAGAGGTGGCCTCGTCCTTCTTCACCGCCTCTGGCTACTGGAAAGTATTCGCCAGGGGTGGTTCTCCTTTCCCACGAAGAGCAGAAGTATTTATGGGGGTTTCTGAAAGCTTCAGCAGTGTACCCTCTTGCAGAACAGCGACTACCAGAAGCATAAAAACCTGAGTGGTTTTGGCTACACAATGGGGAAGAAAACCACTTGCACTTGCCTTAGGACAAAAGTAAACGTTCCCCGTGGGTGGAAGGAGGGGACAGGGCACAAATCAAAATGTTTGCTTCGCCTGGGAGCTTTTGACTATGTCAGAATAGAAAGGATGCCAGTACTGGCCCTGGCAATTTTTAAGAAGAGCAGGTATCACAGCAGTAGGTTGTGAACTGCAAGGAGCGGTGCCTACACAGGAAGAAAGAGACAAACCAACATCAGGAAGGTGTTGAAAAGCAGAGTTACTGACCATGGTGAGGCAGGGGAGGGCCACAATGGCGGGGCCAGGGAACTCCAGAGGAGAAAACATCACAACGCTGAAAGCCGCCCTAAGAGAGGCGACGCTTTGGCCGCGGTTCAAAGGAGACCGCTCCCCTGAATGGGTTGCAGCACTGGAACTATTGGAGGCTGACCAAAATCTTTGATGAAATTGGCACATGTTAGACAACAAGTGAGGCTTCTGAAATGGGAGTTAAACACGACTGCCTCTTAGCCCTCACTGAAATCACCAGAAATATCCACATGGAAATGGCGAGGTCTTGAAAACAGAAATAGCTGCTCCAGCCCAGAGTGCAAGCAAGAGAGCAGCACAAAGAGGGGTCTTGGAGGGCATTTCCGACTCTGCTGTCTGCATGGTTGCCAACAGTCCCTCTCTCCACAGGGAATTTCAAAAGACCCTACAAAGCCCTAGAGATATAATAGTGTATTTGCCAATTTACTCTTGGGGTGTTTGGAACAGTCAGAAAGGTGCAGCTGCTGATGCATAAATAGAAGCTCTGGTATCTGTATTTCAGGTCCTTGACTCTGAAAGACTGCAATGCAGGGAAACCCATTTCCTCTGACAAGGGAATTATTTTGAATCCACTCTTCCTGGGAATACCTCTTTAAGCTAATTATAATTCATGAGGGCATGCAATGGCCAAACATGACTAGAAAAGAAACAAGGAATCTCTTTGAGCATTTAGTATTTCAATTTCCAGCTGAGGCGCAAGAACAAGTGAGAGAGTGATCCGGCCACAATGGCAGTCCAAATAATAATAAAAACTCCAGTCAGATCATCACCTGCATCAGTAGCAACAAGCAAAGAATTCAGAAGGTTATAGAAGGATCTCGCTCCAGGCTAGCACAAGAGTAACTGTTCATTCAATCTGGCTTGATCATAAAATCATAGACTAGTAGAACTGGAAGGGACATCGGGTCCAACACCCCGCTCAGCGCACCCCCTCAGATGGCCGTCCAACTGCGCCCTGAACACGTCCAATGTGGGACAGCTCACGACCTCCCTGGGTCACTGGTTTCATTGCCATACTGCTCTGACAGGAAGCTCGTCCTGATGCCAGCCAGAAGCTGGCTTCCTGCAGCTTGAGCCCATTATTCTGTGTCCTGCACTCTGGCATGATCAAGAAAAGATCCTGGCCTCCTCCTCTGTGGCAGCTTGTCAAGTCCTTGTAGAGGGCTATATTGCTTTCTCCAGGCTAAACACGCCCGGCTATTGCATTCTCTCCTCACAGGGCTTTGTTTCCAGTCCCTGGAACATCTTTGTGGCCCTCCTCTGAACCCTTTGCAGCTTGTCTGCCTTTTTCTTAAACTGTGGTGCCCAGAACTGGACACAAGATGCCAGGCCTCTGATCGTATTAAAATTGGCTTTCTTGTTTGGCTACATTCAGCTTTCACTTTAGAATCAAGAATTCAAGTCTGGCATTGTCACTCTCCCCCAGAGTTCCCATAGCTGCCACTTTATCCACTGGGTCTTTCGTGTTAGAAACACAGAAACAAAGCGAGTCAGAAGGGGCCTCCCGGGCCATCTAGTCTGACCACCGGCAGACTCCCCTGTCCTCCACCAGCCCCTGAAGCCCACTCCAGCTCACGCCGACTGCTTCAGCGACTCCGTCCAGCCACCTCATCCTCTGCCCTCCCCTTCTTCTTTTGCCATCTACTGTTCCCAGCATCAGGCTCTTCTCCAGGGAGTCCTTCCTTCTCATTAGGTGGCCAAAGTATTTGAGTTCCATCTTCAGGATCTGGCCTTCT